TTTCTAGTTTCATTTCATTGTAATCTGAGAAGATGCTTGATATGATTTCAAACTTCTTGAACTTGTAGAGACTTAGTGTGTGTGCTAACGTGGTCCCATATGCACTTGAGAAGAATGTAGCTTTACGATGAAATCTTTAAATGTCAATTAAATCATCTGTTCTAGCATGTCATTTACAGTTATTTCATTGTTGATTTTTTGTCTAGAGGATCTATCCAATGATGTCAGTAGGGTATTAAAAGTCCACTACTGTGACTGTATTGCTGTCAGTCTCCTCTCCCTTAACGTCCTCTAGTAATTTTTAAAAATATATTTAGGTGCTCCTATATTGGGTGCATTTATGTTTACCAGTGTTATATCCTCTTGTTGAAGCAGTACTTTTGGTATTATGTAGTGACCTTCTTTGTCTCCTGTTATGGCCCTTCTTTTGAAGTCTGTTTTGTCAGATACAAGTATTGCTATGCCTGCTTTTTTTTTTCATTTCCATTTGCATGGAAAATACTTTTTCATCTCTTCACTTTCATCCTGTATGAGTCTTTTGTTCTGAGGTCGGTCTTTTGTAGACAGCATATATACAGGTCATTTTTTCTTATTTATTCAACTAACTTGTATCTTGATTGGAGCATTTAATCCCTTTATATTTAACATTATTGATAGGAACTATTTATTCCATTTTATTTCTTTTAATCCTAACCAAGGATATTTTTCCATTTATTTTCAGATAGAATGGAAGGAGGGGAACATTGATATGAGAGAGACACACCAGTTCTTTGCCTCCCGCATGACCCTTACCAGGGCCAGGGCCTGAACCACAACCTGTGTATATGCCCTTGACTGGAATTGACCTTGAAACTCTCTGGTTCACAGGCTGATGCTCCAACTGCTGAGCCAAACTGACCAGGGTACCATTTTCATTCTTTATGCCTGTGTTACCCTCTCTCGCTCTATTTTTTCTTTTTCTTACAGCAGTCCCTTTAACATTTCTTGCAATACTTGTTTGGTGGTAACAAACCCCTTTAGTCTTTTCTTTGGGAAGCTGTTTATTTCACCTCAAGTTTTCAAAATGATAGCCTTGATGGGCACTCAGTAAATATTTGTTGAATATTGAAATGATGCATATCAGCTGCCTGCCACAGGAAACTAGGCAATTATCATCATAATTGGCTGTCTTCTACTTTGAAGAGAACTTAGAACAGCTTCATCTCACTGTTATTCCAAATGTTTCATTTATAACTTTTCTACAGGTGCATTCTCTGTTGTACCTTGGCTGTCCAGTCTACCTACTATTTTTATTTACATTATTTCCATAATTACTTTTGAAATATAAAGTATTTGATCACATACTTTCTCATTCCCTAATTTATTCATCTTTTACCTTTTGACTGCTCTCACCACCAACCCATTAAGACTCTCCTAACAATTTTTGCTCTAACTTCTGATATTGCTGTTCCATTCCCAACCAGTTTTTTACAGTCTGCACATTTTTCTGAACACTCCCTTACTGAAACCTGACTGTGTCCTGATAATATATTACCTGGCAACCCCCTTGTTTTCTTTTTAATCCTCACTGGAGGATATTCTTTCATTGATTTCTAGAGACGGGAAGGAAGGGAGAGAGAGAAAGAGAGAGAGAGAAACATTGATGTGAGAGAGAAACATCAATCAGTTGCGCCCTGACTAGGGATTGAACCCACAACCTAGGTATGTGCCCTATCTGGGAATTGAACCTATAACCTTTTGGTGAACAGGACGATGCTTCATCCAACTGAGTAACCCAGCCAGTGCCCTGGCAACCCTTTTAAGCAGAAACTAGTCTTCCTTACTCTTTCCTGCAACTATGGAAAGTTAATCAGTATTTCTGAACCCCACTGTTGTTTCTAGACCATTGACTAACTTTTATTAAAATGGATTTTTCTTTGATAGTTATTGCATCCATCTTATTCCCTCCCTCCATTCCTCCCTCCCTCCCCAGATAGAGTGGGAGGGAGAGAGGGAGGAAGAGAGAGAGAGAAACATTAATGTGAGAGAGACACATCGAGTGTTTGCCACTCACACGACTCCCAACTGGGGCCGGGGACAAACTTTAACCAAGGTACGTGCCCTTAGCGGGAACTGAACCAGGGACTCTCCAGTCCACAGGCTGACGCTCTAACCGCTGAGCCAAATCAACCAGGGCTTATCCCTATCTATCTTTCTTTCCAATTACTGTACTATAGAGAATATTCCCCAGCAGTCACTAAGGACCTTGACTTCTGGCTCAACATTTTTTCTCTTTTGTATCCTTTGCTTTTGTTCTTAATGACTACAACATCTGTATTGTTGATCCTTCCAGCACCTTAGCTTTATAGTTTATATTCACTCTGTAATTCTCTATCTTTATTCTACTTCGGTAGCCCTACACTTAGCCATACCTTGTCATCCCTTAGAACAATTTTTTTTTGTATTTACTCCATTTTCATTGAAGATATTGAAACTGGTAGTTCTTGTACATTTGCTTTTTTCCTTCTTCCAGTGTGTTAACCTAACTCCCTTGCCTCTCACTGGAAACCCTTTGTCTACTGTTCCACACCTGAGCAGAGACTTCTGGATATGAATTCTTTCAGCTTCTCACTAGACAAGAATTTCTGTGTCTTCATCATTGTCTCCTGTTTCTGTTTTTGTGAAGACATTCTTTCTCCCTTTACTTCCAAAATGTATAATGATATACCCCACCCTCTTGTTTCCTCTGTAGTCTTGCTTCATTAGTTGTGCTCTTCCTCACTTACATTTTTAATTTCTGTACCTTAGACTCTTTTTTTGTCTTCAGGGTCCAGTTCAAATCGCACTGATCTACTAATGATAACTAATTGTACTTTCTGCTATACTTTGTACTTCTATTATAAGAATTATTTTATTTTGACTTACTGTAACACACTTTGAATATTCAAAACCTTCTAATCAAGAGAAACTATACTTTATTTCTGAAATTGTAACACTGTGAAATGTCTGTTTTTAACTTTTTTGTTATTGTGATTTAAGACCATTGAACGTATTCCTTAACCCTGATCATTCTATTGAAGTTACTTTCTATTCCAGTTAAATTACATTATCCCTTAGAATAATAATTGTAATGATCTTAACTTGAATCATGGATTAATTTTCTCCTTTACAAAACCTCTTATAAGTAGTAGATTGTATTGTAACTCAGCTCTGCTTTAGCAAAGTGAACTGAAGAAAGCTTTGTGTATCATTTCTTATGTGCTACCATAGCAATGTTCTTACTCCTTTTGTGTCTTAATGATAGTCAAATGCTCTTTATCATTGGTTCCTTTGGCTTCAATTTTTGTATGTAGGGCTTAATTGTTTTTATTTATATCTATATACCTTATTTAGAAAACATTTAGTCTACAAATACTTGTTTAACTGGGTCTTGTTTCATTGATTTATCAAGTGTATCCAAAATCTCAACCAGAGCTAAAATAAGTTGGGGCCTAACTTTTATAACTTTGGACCTGAGCAAGGAACCACAGTTTTTTCTCCTCTTTTTTCATCTGCATGATTTTTTGAAAGAACCCTTTATTAACTCATAAACTAAGCCCAACATTAATAACATCCATAAACATTTAAGGGGAGAAATGCACAGAAAGATTGAGAGATTAATAATATAGCTAAAATTATCAGAGTATGACTGTACTGTCAAAGGAGCAAATGCAGAGCAAGACTGGCCCTCCATTGTTTCTGTCATGTGTATTTAAATATCTCAGAAAGCAGTGGGTCTTATGGTTTCTTCCATGTCATATTGTCCAATCATCTTACATATTTAAATGTCTAGTCCAGGATTTGGGTTGGTTCATTCAGTCCATCATCAAACATTTCTTGAATTCTTAGGAGTTTTAAAGCACAGCCCTAGGCCTTTGAGAATGTTGTCTTCCCAGTCAGCAGTTATAATTGGATTGATAAATGCTAACAATGCTAAACTAGAAGTAAGTGCTAAATGAATTGTATTTGAGATAAGTATTTGAAGCGTTTTAAAACAGAGAGGTTAGGGCCTAGCCTTCAAACCTAATTAGCATAAAGTCTTTCTCCTGAGGTTAGTCATTTGGTCACCAGAGATGCTCTGTATTTTAGAACTCTGTCTGAGAACACATTCCTTCTGAAGAGGATACAGATTGTGTGTTTATTCATCTCAGGGATGAAAACTCATAATATATTTTATAGAATACAGTATGTTGTTTTGTACTAAATAATTTTCTTTTAAATCCTGAATTTAAAATCTGTAAAATTGTCACATAATGAAATGGGAGAGGGAAACACTAACTTGGGCGTTGGAAGAAGGCCTGGGTCCTTCCTTGATTTGGCTGCTTGGTAGCCATGTGATTTGGCCTTTGTTAAGCCTCAATCTTTTTATCTGTAAAGTTGGAATAATAAAGAGGACTCTGCTTATGCTCCTAGATACATGGTGAGAAATTACTACAACTAAATTGGCCAACCTTAATTAAATGCCTGTTACATTATGATATTGTGATAGGCATTAGGATACAATTTGGTGCTCCCTAACCTAGTAGAGTGAAAGTGGAGCAGCAGTGCATCCGAAAGCATTTTGTAAATTGTAAAGTACTGTATGTTGTAAAGTGGCTTCTTCTTCTAAACTGGATCACTTTCTGATGCCTTAGCAACACATGCACTTTTCCACCAAAGAGCACTTGCTCAGCCTGTGTTCATCAAAATACTACCCATCAGATTTTAATCTTCACGTAGTTTTTTCTCATCTTCCCAGACAGACCTGATTTCTCATCTTCTCTATGCCCATAGTTTGTAGATTTTTTTCATAGCAAAAGCAGGAATTTGTGTTAAATTTTAGTTATATTTGAATACAACTTGGCTGCCTAAAGTCAAACTGGAAGTATCTACCAGTTTTCACAGCATAAGATCTGGTGTTAGTATAGACTTTCAGTAAAATGATTATCTAATTCAGTGAAATACAGATCCTTAATAATGTATTTTGTTGGTTTGATTTTCAGGTTAAAACTTCAACAACAAATTATGAATATTGAAAATGCAGAGAAAGAGAAAAATGAAAATTCTGACCTAAAACAGGTATGATTTAAGCAAAAATTATGTTTTCTTTTTAAGTGTTTTTCAAAATATGTGTTTTGAATCTTTATTGTAATTTTATATTAGTCTGAAAAATCTGACCTCTACAATTGATAATATATTCATGAACTTGATATGTAAAGATAAAATGTTTGAACCTCATTAAACTCTAGCATGCATCTTTTGTTAACTGCTATTTTTCTTAAGATATTTATATGCTGTGGTCCATGATGAATTTTTAAAAATTATAATTTAAAGGACAGTATTTTGATATTATGAATTTTGAAAATTGATTAGAAAGATCATTCAGTTCTTAAGTTACTTGTGTGATTGACTTGTAACTTTACATTTCTCATTCCAGAATCTATTTCTTATATCCCTATGAAATCTGAGAGTTGTACTTATGGAATGAAATTTATATTTTAACTGAAGTTATTTGGGTTCAGAAAAGATTTATATGCACAAAACATTTAAAATTATTCTTTTTTGAATTCTATTTTCTTTTTGTTTAAAATGTTTTTTCCCTTTAAGTTATGAAGTCGTGAGGATTTCATTTTTAGGATTTATATTTACATGCTAACTGGCATTGTTTTGCATATGCAGTTAACGGTTTTTAAGTCTCAACTAAGAGGGCATAATGTTTGCTACTCTGAGAGAAGTTATCTAGCATCATTGGCATTGGGCTTCCTGTCATCCGATAGATATAGAGAAATAGTAAGCTCCTTGAAGGCTGCTTGTTCAGTCAGCTGTAATACAGATTTAATATTTACAACTCCATTTAAAAATAAAGACCTAATAGTTCTTCATGGAGAAATTCATTCTAAAACAAATCTGAGACATACCATTTTACATTATTCTGCTGACAGTTGCTCTTTAGACATATATAGTCCTGTCTTATTTGGCTTTGCTACCATCAGGAAGTAATGGAATTATCTCCTGTTCAATTTATTGCATAAAGAATCCAGTTTCTTTTGACTCTTGAGTTTGATAATTGGTTCCTTGCTTCCAAACTTCTGTCAGAGAATGGCTAAGAGAGTTAAAAGGAAGTGAAAGAAAAATGAGGGCTTGTGTGGGAAGTAGGTATAACTGTCCCAAGTGAAGATTATTTGGATGTAACTTAAAAGCAACGTGAATTTTCCTAGCCTGTCAATTTGTAACTAGATATTTACAGGCATACCTGGGAGATATTGAGGGTTCTGTTTCAGACCACCACAGTAAAGCAAATATTGCAATAAAGAGAGTTAGAATCCTTTTGCTGGTGGAGGGTCTTGCCTTCAATTTGTTAAAAAAAAAAAAAAAAAAGCAATATCTTTGAAGCACAATAGAGCAAAACACAACAAAATGAGTTATGTGTGTAGCTACTTTTCATGGGCAGAAATGCTCTAGGTAAAAGTGTACTGGGATAGAAAAACAGCCTGAGTGATATTTCATGATTTGGTAGGTTTGGTTCTAGAGGACAAGCAGTCCCTGCCATTTATTGGGTTTCTCAGAGTATCTTTGTTTTACCCAACATTTGGTGCTTAGAAACTACTGAAAAACAATGTGAGAGTGATCCTTTCTGTTTTCATGATTCCTCAGAAAGCAGAACCACCTGGAAGGTTTGTGGTCACAGAGGACATGGGGGTGGAAGAGGGAGAATGGATTTCCTTAGCAGCTTTCCCAGCTGTGACATACCTTTAAAATCTGTTATTTCTTAGGAGGCTAGAAATCCAATAGGAGACTCTGTAATAGGTGGATTCTATTTTCTCACCTCTCTGTTGTCTAATACTGTTTATCCCCCCTCCCAGTACCTCTTCCAGCCTGCTTAGGTTTGGAAGAAGAGAGGATTCAGTGGCAGACTGAGGGGTATGGTTCTTGATTATCTCTGGTTATACTAAGAAATGATCCTATGATAATGGAATCTAATGCTACTATTTATTATTTCATTTTAGGATGTCCTCAAAGGCACATCAGTAGGGTGGGACTTTTGTGGGGGAAGATGCTTAGTTTAGTATCCTGTGCCTCTCTAACACCCTACTAAATTTATTCAGTAGCTTTAACATTTCTCTTTTTTCTTCTCTTTTAAGCAAATCAGTCGTTTGCAGATCCAAGTGACCTCACTTACACAGTCAGAGAATGAATTGCTGAATTCAAACCAAATGCTGAAGGAAATGATGGAGAGATTAAAGCAAGAATGCCGAGCTTTAAGAAGTCAAGCTGAAAAAGCGCAACTAGAAGTTGAAAAGTAGAGTTTGCTTTTTTTTCTTGTTTTCAGCTATATTATATATAGTTATTTTAATGATTACCTATCAGTGTGTTTGGGGAACTAGTTATAAATACCCTTTGACAATGTACAGTGGTCTGAAGTAATATTTCTAGAGAATGAGCTTTATGGACTTTTGAATTCTTAAAAAAAAAAAAAAATTACATTAAGGGAAGAAGGCCTTTTAAAATTCTCCTGACCACAGTATTCTGAAAACCCTCAAAGAAAAACTTCTTTATTCATTTACTAAACCAATACATTTTTTTTACTTTAAATATCTAAATTATTATTCTGAATGCCACATAGGTAGTAAGTTTGATTTTACTTATGATGATATCTGTTTAATCAAGAGTTACTGTCCATATTTTGCATGCATTCTTCTGACAGGACACAGGAAGAGAAGAATAATCAGTGGTTGGAAGAAAAACATAAGCTTCATGAACGTATCATAGACAGAGAAGAAAAGTACAACCAAGCTAAAGAGAAACTACAGCGAGCTGCAATCGCCCAGAAAAAGGCAAGTGGTTCTTATTAGAGTGATTTCTATAGAGGAAAACATAGTTAACTATTTTAGAATAAAATGTATAATTAAAACAGATTTTACTGGTATGTTTAATTTGATACTTAAGCATGACATTATGCTTTCAACCTTGCCAGAGATCAATTGGGAAAATCCAAACTGATCAACAGATTTATTTCTGAATTTTGTGTACTGGTCAGTTTTTCAAAGCCGACAGGTGTTTTTTTCACAGAGACTGCTTGCTTTTCATTGATAAAGTTCCTAGACCAGCCCACATAAGTCTTATTTAACTCCTTCTACACTTAACTTACTGGGCGAGTAGGTGGGTTTCAACTGTGCTTAACTAAGACTTGTAACATTGTTTTGTGGTTAAAATGCTTTTTTTGTTTCCAACTCAGGAATATTGGAGTAAGGATCCCCTTCCCCTGCAGGAGGAAGTAGGACTCCCCCTGGTTCTGAAACAGCCATGATAGTTCCCACAGCTGTAGTCCTTTTTTAAGCTTCACTTTTGCTGGCTTAGTTTCCCAGAACCTAATAATTTTGTTTTCATATAAATAGTCCAGGGCATCCTGGAAATAATGCAATAAGATGATTCACCTAAGGCAATGATTTTCAACTTTCTTTTTCTACTTGAACAAACCTGAGGAGTATAGCATGACCCCATCAGTAACTATGACTCACGGTGGCAGTGATTCAGTAATTATTTTCAACAAAATTGGTGCATATATGTTGGGGGTGGGGGAAGGGAGTGTTTTAAAACAAATTCCTACAAATAATTGATGTCTTCACTTGGTAAGTTTTCTTAGTGATGGCATTGGCTTTGGGAAGGTAAGAAGGTCTGAGAGAAGAGCAAGGTGCTTGTAGGCATAGCCACACCAGTATCTTAATGTTTGAAAGGTTAGCTGTTCACATTTACATAAGAGAAAAGAACTGTAAATTATTTACATACTTTGATTTGGAAACCGAAGGACACAGTTTCTAGTTACCTATTTATGTATTAGATGTAACTGCCAACTGCATCCTTATAGTTGGAGTGACTACATGACAAGTCTAAAGTTATTCCTTCCCTATGTTCATGGTTTCTGAAGATTGTTTTTTTTCTTCCCATAATGATAAAAGTAGTGTAACATTGTGATTAGAAAACAGCATTTACACATGGGAATTCCAGTGTCTTATACTCAGAAAGACTTGTTAGTTGTCCCTATGCACATCACTTTTCTTTCTTTCAGGCTTGAGCATCATACGGGCATTGCTGGGATTTCAGTGAAGTTTATTATGACTTGGGATGATCTTAGGAAGTCTACTTATGTTTTCTTGTACTCTTTGAAGCCTAGAAGCCTCTGAAGCTAAATGTTAGCTGGAAATCACTAGAAATTATAAGAGCCAATTTGATCTTTCACAGAGAAATTTTTGTGTTGAGGTTTTAGAGATAAGTATCTTCAGGATCAGATTCTAATTGTTGAGGTTAGTTTGGGTTGACTTCTTTTGGAGCAAAAGTGACATCCAGTGGTGAGAGAGATTATCAACTAATCGTAGGTATACCAGAAAGAGAGAGAAAGAGGGGATATTTTATGAAGCCTGCAAAATAACCCTTTCATTAATGTTGTGACCTAGGATGAATTATTTATTTTTTTTTACTGAAATGCCTGCCAAATGATGGGTGTGAACATATGGATAGTAAATATCCATTTTCCTTTTAAAAATGTGATGTGTGGATTTTGGTTTGAAGTCAGAGAAATTGTTAAGTTCAGTTGAGTGAATAATTGTGACTCAGAGCTGTTCCACCACATGGGGCACTGTCCTACAGGTTTACAGCTTTAAGTAGATACAATTTTAGGGCTGGGAGGAATTTAGCACTCAGATAGTTGTTACAGATGAGGAAACTGAAGTGGTAGGTAGCCAAGATCATTTGATCATTAAGAATCATTGCCATGACTAAAACCTGTATCTTTCTATTTTCAATCCTGTGCTTTTTTTACACTGTTACTCTTTTAATTGCCCACTTTCTTTTATTAAGAATCATTGCCATGACTAAAACCTGTATCTTTCTATTTTCAATCCTGTGCTTTTTTTACACTGTTACTCTTTTAATTGCCCACTTTCTTTGATTCCAAATACTTTACTCTTTTTCTCTTCATTGTAGCCATAATACACATGAATATTATTTTCTGTGGCAGAATAATCACTCAAAAAATAATTTCTTTAACTCAAACCTTATAATGCTTCTATATGAAAATTTTGGCTATAAGATTAAATAAATATAATTCATAATAGTGCAACAGACTTTTCGGGTTCTTTAAATGTCACAAATTATAAATTTCTTATGCAGTAAGACTAAAACAAGTCACTAAATATTAACTCTAGGGTAGAAATCATAATCCTTTAGAGTTACTTTTCTTTGAGAGGTTCTTATAACTGGGGAATAGCAGCTTTATTTTTACCCCCAGGCCAAATAATAAAGCTCATGTTTTATTTGTGGCTCCAACGTAAGCACAAAGCTTATGTATACATTTCTAGTAAGTGTTTTTTTTTTTTTTGGTAGAATTTTTGGGTAATGGTATTTGCTGTCTTGATCTGTTTGGAAAAGCTTGACCAGGTATCTTGAGTTGTGAGGCTGTTCTGTGAGTGATGACTGCTCTGTCATTTCTGCACGTATTGCTGAAATGTGACTGTGAAGAGAGATCTCTTGATATGAGCACAATGAGTTGTGCTTTTCCTTTTGAAGCACTTGAAGTGACAACTTGTTATTTTTATTCCAAGGTATATCTCTCTGAAATAATTCTTGGTTAGATACTGTTACGAATGGTTTTTGTTTTTAATGCACCCTAATCTCGAAGATGTAAAATATCTGTTGACTGTGTTGTGCTGCCTAGTGTTATACCGAGGAGAAAATAAAAGCCATGGTTGACTCCTGCCCTTAATGACCATGTGATCTAATTGGGGAAATAACATAACATGCAATACCTAAAGAATACTATTAATCACTCCCAGGTGATCTGTGTATACACACAAGTTTCAGATAGTGTGCCAGAGAGAAGAAAGCTTGAAGACAGGGAGACTAGCTAGGAAGCTATTATAATAAATTTAAAATGAGGTAAGAAGTCTGGAACTTAGGTCTAGAGTATAGGAATGAAGATGAAAGGTGACTTCCAAAAGTATTATGAAGGAAAAAAACTACAATACATGATGCTAAATAAGAGAAAAAAAATTGAAGTATTTAACTGTGAGAGGGTACAATTAGAGTTGTCATAATGGAATTAAGAACATGTCAGTTGAGTAGAAAGAGAAGATAGATTAGACTAAACTCATGTCAGATATGAAATGGTGGCTGTGCATCCTCGTAGCATGGCCTAAGTGAAGATATTATATAGACAACTAGAAATGATGGAATATAATGCAATGTGATGAGAATTCAGATTAGAGAGGTATAGACACTTGAGAGTCTGGAGATGATAGAAGAATAAAAGAACTAAGAACTAAGATGACTTGGAAAGAAGAACTTGTGTGGAGACTTGCTACTGATTGCTGCTGTTTTCTCAGTGCAGGAAGGATTCAGGGTCATTAGTTCAGACGGTGAAGAATGGAGGCGTTAGAGATTGGAGGAGAGAAAAGAAGTTGTAAAAGAATGATGTGAGTTAGGGAGAATGGTTGGATTAGGAAAATTAGTAGGGTTGCCAGGAAGTACTAGGGCCCATTTGAAGTTAGTGGTTATTCATAGAAGGTGAGACAAGTCAGCGTAGTTGTGTGCATGTTTGTCAAGTATGCTCAGTTTTATAGATCCAGGCATGTAGTCAGTAGAGTTGTATTTAACAAGGTTGGAGTTTTTCAGGTGTGTTTGAAGAACAGGGAGACTCCGATCAAGGTAATGAGGGTGTCTGTAAAGAAAGGATCATAGTGAAGGAATCTAAGGTGTGCGTTAGATCTTTTAGTCAGCCAACCAACCAACCAGTGTTTTTACTGCATTCTAGCTCAGTTCCTGGCAAATAGTAAGTGCTCAATAAATGTTTGTTTTACAATGATGGGGATGAGCAGAGGACAGCATTGTCCTGAACCCTGTCTTCAGGAAGTTTATTTGCAGATATACCTCTTAAAAGGCAAACTTCAGAATCTGTCCTATACACTAATGCCATATTACTCTTCTCAAACAATGTGTTTTGCTCATAATTTCCCAGCTGGAAACCTTTAGGTGACTCCATGTCCTTACAGAATTACATTCTCCCTAATTAATTCTTTATACTTTCTAGGAAGCATCCTTTCATGACGTTGTACTTATGGGCTGAATTCCCTTCAGAAATCCCTATATTTTGTGTTACATTATGGCTAACAGAGGTCTCAGTTCAGAGTACTCTCTTCTCTCTGCCTCACTCTCTCTCTCTCTCTGGATATATGTGTGTATGCTCAATTAAGATTTGATGATGAAAGTAAAAAAATTTGTATTTTATTACAATTTCAGTGAGCAATACAAATGAAGAAATATAACTGGATTTTAAGATTACAGGTTTATATAGGCATATAATAATGAAGTATTCAACATGTCCATCTTTAAAATGTCTTGCCATTAGTTGAACTAAAATACCTGAAAGTAGTATATGCTTTTGCTAATGGAATTACCAGATACAAACTTGAGGAAATATGTGGATCAGCTCTCCACATCAGAGCTAGAAAAATTGGACATCTTTTAAAAAATATGTACATGGTCCTAGCCGGTTTGGCTCAGCGGTTAGAGCGGCAGCCCATGGACCAAAGACTCATGGGTTCAGTGCTGGTCAAGGGCACATACTTTGGTTGAGGTTTGGTCCCCCGCCCTGGTCGGGGTTGTGCAGGAAGCAACCAATCGATGTCTCTCTCACATTGATGTTTGTCCCTCCCTCCCACTCTCTCTGAAGATAAATGGAAAAATACCCTCGGGTATTTTGCTAAATGTAGGTTGCTAAATGAAAGGATTTAAAAAACAACAACAGTGAAGGGCAGAGAATAATTAGCAATCTTGGAGAAGT